ATATTGCATTCATGTAATGATGCAACTCATTATTTTTTCTCTATCTTTATGAGATAATTGAAGGTTAGTTAATATTTGGTTTCTTACATTCTTTAAACAGACTCTTTCATCTTTTAAGTACAATTTTTTTTTTTAAAAAAAAAAACTTTTAACCATTTTTTGTTTTTGCATTTTATATTTTATATATCATTTGTCCCTCTACTATCTACTGAACATTATTTGTTTTTTTGCTTATAACCATTTTTTTGGTTGAAAAATATTATTTCACTAGAATTTGTATACAAAATTTTACGTTAAAATGATGTGATAGTGTCATTTGTATAATAAAAAACTTGTCAATTGACTCTTTATTATAAAGTGATAGATCAAAATTCAATCAAATCATTATTAATAATTGTTTTTTTATATTGTTTTTACGTTGGTATATCACTTCTCCTTTTTTTTTTTTTTTTTTACTTTTAATATTTTATGACATCATGATATGTGTTAATTGACAATTGCTCTAGAACATTACTCCAAAATTACCTATAATAATTTTTTCTTTAATATTTTTATAACTTTGTTTTAATATTTCTATCTACAGTTGCTTTTGTTTAAAAATATCAATTTAAAAAATATTTACATAAACAAATATCAGTTTAATTTTGTTTGAATTATTTTTGTTTAATTTTGTTTTAAAATATTATAAAAATATTTACAGCTGTTTAGGTTAAAGTGAAGTTACAGCCATAATTACAACATTATAAAAAATATATTACATTTAATCTATTTTTTCAAAGCTATTAAATATGCATAAATATGTGTATTTTATTATATATAATAAAAAAAATTACTAGTGATGTATATTTACCAATTTAAAAAATATTTACACAAACAAATTGGTCAATTGACTTTTCAATTTGTGTTGATTGATATAAATCTAGCATGGCTTAAAAATAAAGTTAAATTTAAAAATACCCCTACATTTTATAGTCACCTTAAATTTATCATACTATATCAATTGACAAATTAAATTTTACTAATATGAGAATATTTTTTCTAATGCACTTATTGAAATAAATATAAAATTTTAAATATTTCATTTTAACTTTTTTGCGACATCACCTTAAAAATAAAGAGAGATAGAAGATGAGTGAGAGAGAGAGAGGAAGATAGAAAAAAAATAAAAATAAAAATAAAAATATGTTTGTTGTATCACTTGACAAACTGTAATACGATGAATTATAATTATGAATGTCGTTGATAATATAATTATACTTAACCGAAAGTATAATTTTTTTAATTTTAAAAAATTCATTTGTTTAAATTTTATCAATTGAATTATTATATATCTATTTGTATAATACTTAGGACAAAACATTAATAGTAATAAAAAATAAAATAAATCAAAAATTATGTAACCCATGCCATGTTTGGAATGCTGTTTTTTTTATTAAAAAGTGAAGAAACTAAAGAGTTCTAAAATGCCTCTGGCATGTACCAACAAAAATAAGTTTAAAAATCTTTATACCAATTTAAAAAGATTAAACAATTCTTGTGAGTGAGTGCATAGTTATTTACATCTTTGGATGGGTAAAAGGGAAAATTTTACATTTTCCCATACAAATAGAAAACTTATTCCTAAATACATTAACTTTTTTTTATCTCTTAAAAAATCCAAAAAACCACTTAAAAAGATAATTTCAAACACTTTGGTTAAAAAAATTAAAATGTACTTAATATTATTATTTTTTTAAAAAAATATTTTCAAGTAATTTAAAAATAAATTTATCAATTATTATTTAATTTCGTATATAGTACGGAGTGATATGCTAGTAAACTTTTTATTTAAATGTGTAGATATAAAAAATAAAAAAATAAAAAAAAACTTTATTACAATTTTTCCTTATATTACAAGTTAAAAAAATTTCTAAAATGAACATAAACCAATTTTTCTAGGGATTCATAATCTCTCTTCACCTATATAGAGAGAGAAGATTGTGGAATGGAAGGATGAGAGAGAGAGAGAATAATTTTGAACAGATGAGAGAAAGATGTGTGTGTGTGTGTGTGTGTGTGTGTGTGTGTGTGAGAGAGAGAGAGAGAGAGAGAGGGGGGTTGATTTCATAGAGTGTTCAACAAACACACGTGTGTCATGGATAGTTTAGTCTTTTTGTAAAAACATGTCTTTTCAATTATTATTTAATTTCGTATATAGTACGGAGTGATATGCTAGTAAACTTTTTATTTAAATGTGTAGATATTAAAAAAAAAAAACTTTATTACAATTTTTCCTTATATTACAAGTTAAAAAAATTTCTAAAATGAACATAAACCAATTTTTCTAGGGATTCATAATCTCTCTTCACCTATATAGAGAGAGAAGATTGTGGAATGGAAGGATGAGAGAGAGAGAGAATAATTTTGAACAGATGAGAGAAAGATGTGTGTGTGTGTGTGTGTGTGTGTGTGTGTGTGTGAGAGAGAGAGAGAGAGAGAGAGGGGGGTTGGGTTGATAGAGTGTTCAACAAACACACGTGTGTCATGGATAGTTTAGTCTTTTTGTAAAAACATGTCTTTATGGACATAATACTTTCACGCTTGAACCTTTGGCCCAAAAAAAAATCTAAATTTAAATTTATGACTTGGACACTCTTAATTAAATTTAAATTCAAAATCACGTAATAATGTTAAAAAAATGGTCAAAATTATCACCAGATAAAAGATGCCATCATTAACATTTGAAAAATGAATATTCTTACAGATTTTTTTTTACAAAATTATCAGTTAGAATAATGTAAAAGTGGTATTTCTTAAAAAATAAACTAATTTGTTAGACTTTTTACTTTAAAGTGATTAGTGATAAAATCAAAAACATGTCAAGTTGTTGCATCAATTTGTATTAATATATGTATGTATATATATATATATATATATATTATTGGGTAGTTAGGTGATAGGTCCATTTTTAATCTTTGGATTATTAGGCCCAAGCTATAATTTCTTTGGAACAAAAAGATACAATTTGTCTAAAAAGACATTATATATTGAAATCAACCTATCTACATGTCTATTAAAATCATCACATCTCTTGAAATCATTCAATTTGTCTATCTGTTAAAATTGACCAAGCTTATTTTTTCATTTATTGAAGAGTGAATTACACTAACAGTTCCTATAGTTTGGGGCTTGTATCATTTTAGTCCCTGACTTTTCAATTATGACATATTTGACCATGAATTTTGAATCTTATTTCAAATAAGGACAATTGAAGATATCATTACTCAATTTCAAGAGCAAAGTCATCAATTTGATAAAATATAAATTAATTTGACAAATAAATGTCAAAAAAATATTTTTGAATTTTAAAAATTATTTCTACCCACCAAAGATAAAATTATGTAAAATTAATAAATCTTTTACGCATTTATTTATTTATTTATTTACCAAATTAATTTTTATTATGTGTTTGGATGATGATTATGTATTGGGTGGTTGTTAGGCTTTTAATGTGTAATCAATGTATTTAATATATGAAATGTTTTTAGTTTTGAATTTTTTGATTTAATAGATTGGTTTAATATTGATATCAAAGTGTCGCCATATTTGACTTTTGGAAAAATAGATTCTAATTTAATGAAAATAAAAGCAATCACCCATTACATGATTGTCATCTAAATACATAATAAAAATTAATTTGATAAAATAAATAAATTTGTAAAAGATTTATAAATTTTACATTTTATCTTTGGTTGTTAGAAATAATTTAAAAAAATTCAAAAATATTTTTTTGACATTTAATTTTGTCAAATAATTTATATTTTATTAAATTGACGGGTTTGCCCTTAAAATTAAGCAATGATATTTTTAATTGTCTTTGTTTGGAATAAGATTCAAAATTCAAGATAAAATGTGTCACAATTAAAAAGACAAAAATCAAAGTGATACAAGTCCCAAACTATGAACAATAAGTATAATTTGTCTTTTATTGAATATCACATATTTTTTTATTTTATCACCACCATCACTTGCCGCCACCTGTCACCGCCAATGATAACAACTTTTTGAGCCAATTTTTCAATGATTTTTGACACTAACCAAATTTGTTGACATATTCTTACCACTAAAAATAAAATCTAACACCTTTTACACTTTTTAGGATGAACTTTTCATTAATTTTCTCAATATTATTTGTATATATATATATATTTGGATTTTCCGACTATTTCTTAATTTTGCAAGAGCATCCACAACCCACCACCGTAAATTACCAAAGTACCCTTTGATAATGGCAAGTTGACCCTTGTTGACCAGTCATGAAACACAATGATATATCATGATGACGCCGAGATTAGCCAACATTCAACCAAAACCTCAATTAGGGGCCGTTTGTTATAATTTAATTGGGTTGATTATAACTTATTTTAAGAATCTGTATCACATTGTTTGATAAAGTTTTTTCATATAATTTTTGAGTAGAAATAACTTCAATAAACTAAAAAAATTGATTATCTAGAAGTTAATGGGAGAAGTGTTTTGACTTTTAATATTTTATTATCAATTTTTAATTTATAATAAATTACACCAAACACATTTATACTTTAAAAATTATTTCATACTACTTGTGTCAATGGCACAAACACATTTCACTTTTAATTTTGTGAAATTTATGTGGGTCTTACAAGATAATACTACAACCACATCAAGCCTTCGTCTGGCAACTTGGGTTGGGTTGGGTTGGGTTGGGTTGGGTTTGAGGATATTTTAATTATAAAAAATAAAATAGATTTTTTAGTCTAATAAGATAAAATGTCACATCCAGTTCATAATAATTACATTCTTTTTTTTATAAAAAATCAAAAATGTTAAAAAATGAGACTTTTTAATTCCAAATTAAAATAACTAAAAAATCAAAAACATCAACCCACTTTTCTAAGATTTTTGATTTTTATAGGACCCATGTAAGTCCAGTGTCGATCCTACAAAAATCAAGGGTCAAGATGCGTGTAGCGTCGTCACACTAGTGCCATCAATAACACTAAAAAAACACTACACCATATATTCCCACCCACATCACCCCGTTTGGCTGATAGGAAAATCATGGGATGAGTGAAACTTGAACTCCTCCCTAGGCTTCCAATTTTTCAGGGTTCATATAAGCAAATCCATGCTATACCCCTCTGTCGTGTATATATATTTTTCGTCTTCCACCTCTTTTTCACCTTCCAAACCCATAATTTATATGGTCTAAATTTGTACTTTGATGGCAATCTGGTTCAAAAGATCAACCACCATTTCTCATCATTACCTGAAGAAAAGGATAAGTTTCTGGGAAAATCTAGGCCATAGCTTTCATACCAATATCTATTCACCAACAAACTCAATTGGTGAGAATTGTAGAGACTCAACTCCATTTTTCTGTGAATCAAAAGCCCTTTTCGGCTCCCGGCGTTTCAAATCCATCAAAACTGGCAGGGAAGAAGATTTGCGGCAAGATATTAATGGTGATCACCAGAATCAGGTACTTCTTAAGACATTGTTCTCTTCAAAACACACACAATTTTTTTTAATTTATTATTATTTTTATGTTGAGGCTTTTTTGAGCTAATTAAATAATAGAAGTGGATCAACAATAAAGCTGAATTCAATTATTGTCTTGTTTCTTCTGACTGTACTAATTATGTCCAGTATGGACCTTTAGCCAAAATAAAAAAATTTACGAGTAAATTACAAATATACCCTTGAAGTTTATTTAAAATATAAATTATTCCTTGTAATTTAAAAAATTATAAATATCTCTTTATTAAAATTTTTTATTTAATAGAATTAATTGAAAAAATAAAATTTCTAACTGTTTACCTATACAATAATAAAATTATCTGAATTATTAACTGAAATAAAATTTTAACATTATTAAAAACTGTTAATTAATTTGATGATTAATTAATAAAATGACCTATTTGCTATAAAATTAAAAACCTTAAGGGACATAATGTAATTTCTAAAATCACATGAAGTAATTTGTAATTCAAGTAAATCTCAAAGCTGTGTTTGTAATTTATCCAAAATTTATATACCTCCCTTTTTTTTTGTAATTTATCCAAAATTTATATACCTCCCTATTCTTTTTTTTTTTCTTTTTGTCTTTTATCTAAGGGGTGTTTCTGATATTGTCTCCCACAAATGAGAAGATAACACACATGAAGTAAGTCAATCCTAGTCTTTTAATCACCGAAGACCAATTTTAACCATATTCTTTAGTTTCACAAGTTAAAAATATTGAAAAATAAATAATTTTTTAGTTTGTTTAATTTCTTTTAAGAAAATAACATTTCAGTTCAATTTTTAAAAAAAATTATTTTTAAAAGAAATATAATTTTAATTATTAATATTTATAAAATTCATCATTGATTTATAATTATTTTAAAAAAAAAACCATTGATTTAATATTTTCTCATTTCTTTTTTTTTATATATGCACTCCATGTTACTTTTTATTTTACTTATTTATATATACAAATTATTTAACGAGTCTGTCAAGACTTTTTAAATATGCCTAATTCATTTTTTATTTATGTACTCTAACGTTACTTTTTATTTTACTTATTTATATATACAAATTATTTAAAGAGTCTCTCAAGACTTTTTAAATATAACTAGGCTTGAATTTTTTTTTTGTTAAAATAACTATTATGATAATTATAATAATTATATTATGGTGTGTATCATATGTAAATTATGTTATTTATGGGTTTAATTATCATAAATAGTATAACTAATATATTACAATATATCACGTTTATGAAGAAATTTTAATATATCACAATATATCACGTTTATTTTGAAATTTTATTGCAGGATTATTAATCCAATAAATAAATTAATTTAAAAAATTTGTAGGATTATTAGTAATGGGTAGGGGTGGGATTATATATCTAGAGTTGGGAAATAAAATAAAAAGACTCTTTTATCCTTGATTAAAAATTAAAACACTTATTATTTTTATATAATTTTATATTTTAGAAGGCTAAAAATAATTTTTAAAAATTTAAAAATATTTTTGATATTTATTTTATTAAATTAGTTTATATTTTTTAAAAAAAATTAAAAAACAAACCAAACATGGCTTTGTATTTTGTATTTTTATTTTACTTTTATTTATTTATTTATAATTTTTTTCAGAATCACGTTTATGAAGAAATTTTAATAAAGGAAAGATTATGAAAAAAAACATTGATGGAGGGTAAGATTGAAAAAGAAGATAAATATAGTTATTATTTTGCATTCATATATTTTCTTATTTAAAGCAAATCAAACAATGAATAAGGGGATAATTTATCTTACTAATCTAATTGGATAATAAATACTACATTAATTTGATAGAATTATTAATACTTTTACTATTAATATTACGAATCAAACATCACCTAAAGATATTTGTGATTCGTGAAGTTGATAAAACTCACGATTTCTTATTAAGTAATTACAGAACAATAAAACACGTAGTATTATCATAAATCAATCTAAATCATGCATTGATTTGTGGCCATACCACATCACATGGAATAATTTTTCTATACTTTCAGACAGTACCATGATTACTTACAATTGACGCTTTGATGGGACTGTTTTTGCTGGAAATGGGTGCTGCCGTGCCATAACAGTTACTCATGCTCCCTTGTGGAGATTGTTATGATTGTTTTTCGATGATGTAAACCGTTATATTGTAAAATTTGTCAATAATATTATTTATATAAAAAATTAAGTTAATTCGATATTAATAATTTTATGGTCATATTTTAATTATTTTTAAAAATTTATGAAAGTTATGTTAACTATTAATTTTTATAAAAATAAATGTGCTTTGGTTATAAGGCTACAAATATCTAATAAAATTGATTTTTTGAATGGATGATCTACTTGACGAGCCTTGTAATAGAGGTGTTTGGTGGGGCTTTTTTGAGCCAACTTATGGCTTCTGGCTTTTAAAAAGTGATTTTAGACTATTTGATTAAACTTATTTCAAACAACTTCTGATTCTAACAATTTATTTTAAGTAAAAAAAAGCTGATTCTGAGAAGTTGCTCACCCCTTGTTTCTGATTATCGGCTTCTGCTATGAACATGTTAATTTACAGTTATACTCTTAATTTTTTTTATTTTTTATTTTTTTAAAAATAGAAAAAGACCCAAATGGACTATAAAATATTATTATTATTTTTTTATGAAAAATGTAGACAAATAGCGAATAATAAAAAATAAAAATTAATTAAAAAAACTACTTCACAGCTTATTTAACAAATATTACTCAACAACTTAAATTTATAATCCAACAGCTATACCAAACAGATTAACAGCTTCTGATTAAAGTCATAATCTATAATCTGTTAAGCTATAATCTATAATCTGTTTTAACAGCTACACCAAACAGCACTAATATGAACAATTCAAATCATCGAAAAAACTCGAGACAATCTCCCACAAGGAGACAGTAGTAACTGCTGTGCCTTGAGGTACAACAGTATCCCCATTTCGTTTTTACTACTCCGTTATTTTCCAAAATAATAATCTCTATTGAGAAATTTAATTTTGTTAATAGTATAATTATTATATTTTAAAAATATTAGTAATTTTTTAAAATTATCCTTTTATAATTTACTTTTAGAAAAATTAATTGTCATAATTATACTTTTTGTATTATGAATGAATTTGAAAGAATGGCAAAATAATAAATTCATATTATTTTATTCCTTGATTTTTAAAAATAAACTAATATTTTAATATAATAAAAAATGAAATAAAGGACTAATATTTTGAGACGAAGGAGTATTTTTGTGGCATGCTAGCAAGTATTGACTATCAAATAAAATAAAATAGAAAAAAGTAAATAAAAGGGAAAAAAATAAACAAAATACTACTCTATGATTTATAAATGTTTGTTTTGAAAAGTATGTTAAAGATTAACTTTTTATTTGTTTTTTTTTTTTTTAATGTATAGAAAAGTAGAGAGATTATTGACTTAAAATAAATTAAAAGTTTAGAAATCACTTTTTACTCACTTGATTTTAGGGAGAATTACTTGACGGAGTGATAAAGAGAAAAAAATTACAGAGGTGTGGGGATCTAAGTAAAATTGGTAGCAGAGTGCAAGTGAAAAGGTATGGGCTTGCACTCTTTCATGTTTATATATATATATATATATTTTTTTTTTTTAAGTAATTTTTTTTTATATTTTATTAATTTTTTCTTTTTTGGTATGCTATACAAATCATTGACTTGTACAGACGTGAATTTGAAAAAATAAAATAAAATAAAACCTAGCAACCATTAGTCAAATTAGTAAATTACCATTAAAAAAACTAGAGCGTAACAAAAACAAGAATAAGCATCATATGTGGACTCCGATTTTTTTATAGCAGTATCTCTATGTCATGCTTAAAATAATGACAATAATGCTAACCAGTGATAGATTAATGATTTGCCAATAGGGTCCAGTTTCTCTCAGTTTTGAGATTAAAATTGGACCAGTTAGTTTGGCTAATGGACTTATTTTTTAGTTCCATTTCGATAATTCGAATGTTTAATATGTAGAAGTTGTCAAGTACTATATTCTTGTAAAAAATTACGTTGATCAGATATCGATAGCTATGGATCAGATTTCTGTCAATCATTTATTTTTTTACCATTTATTTTTTTATACAAATTTGATCTAATCAAATAGCTATCGATATCCGATCAACGTGATTTTTTACAATAATATAGTACTTGACGAGTTTTGCAAATTAAATGGTTTAAATTATTGAAACGGAACTCAAAAATGAACTCATAAGTTAAACTAGACGGTCCAATCTTAACCTCAAACCCGAGACAAACTAGACCTTACCAACAATACACAGAACATGGAATGATATGACAAACTTATTAATTTATGACTTTAAAATTAAAAATTCTCAAGATACTTTTTAATATTAAAATTTGCACTAACAAATTATGTTCTAAATAATTTCAAAAATGCTTGGGACCCCAAAGTTGGGAACTCCCAAAATGATGTGAACTAATCATGTATTTTTTTTTTCCTTCTTGAACCAATCATAAGTGAGTGAAAATTGTAAGAATTGTGTTTTTTTAAGAGTAACATTTGAGGGGGGTGGGGGGAGTGTTGGGTTTGCAGTAGTGAATGTTATGCATTTGCGGGGTTTGTTTAGAATCATATTTTTAAGTTTGAATCATTTATTTTTTTTTATAAAAAATATCAAATAAAATATGATGACACTGTTTGAACCAAGTGGAACGGGTCGGACTAATCCACGCTCCTCAAGCCTGTGTTCGAATGACCAAGCCCACCAGAAGACCTACACAAGAGTTCAACGGGGAACGGGGAGTCTCCTAAGGAACCCTCCAACAAGCAAGTTAGAGAGAGAAGTAGAATGTAGAGATGAATTAAAGATGGAATGCTTAACCTTCTTCTCGTCTTCGACGTCTGCTTATATCCTCTGGTAATCATTTCGTTGTCCCTTTCGACC